TCGTAGATGTTTTGTTTGATGCAACTGTGTAAGCACACTGGCATTTTTTTTATAAAGCTAATGCCCTCTACTAAATTGCTAAAATAAAATAAAACAGCTTTCTAAGGATATGTTCTCTACAGACAGTTAATGCAGTGTGCATGCCATGTCCAGTTTCTATGCATGTATACCAGATCTTTGAAAAAGAAGGAAACATTTGAAGTTCTTCAGAAGTTAGAAGCAGGTAATAGTGTGATGCTTCTAAACCAAGTCTTTTGGAAGACAAACTGCTTCTTAGTCTATGACAGCTCCTTTTCAATTGCTCTTGTTTTTTGTTTTTATTTCTGCCACTCATAGATGCAGGGGGGTGTTCAGATGCAGGGTTTGTTCAGATGCAAGAGGTGCTCCAAAGACACGCCAACTGATACCAAGCCAGTGCCGCCGAAGATGCCCCTGGCTGCCGCCTGGATAGCCCCATACCATTTAAAACTCTATTCTTAGATAAAAGTCCGTAAGGGCTTTCAGAGCAATTCCTGTATCCTTTCTTAAAAGGGTTACATTTTTTAAAAGTTTATCTGCAGGCCTCAGAAGCCAGTTGGCTGTAAGTTCTTGTGAAAAAATTGCTTGCGGTAAGTTTCTCTGGTTGATCACATGCTAAGAAAAGCCACTGGGGTTATCTTCAGTTACCTACCAGCTTCTCCAATACAGTAGATTCTGTGGGCCTCTCCCTAAACGCACTGTACTTGAATTTACCATTACTCATGGATTTTGCACCAGCAAAGAGTTTTAAGGATTTTGGCCCAGTTCAGTGTCTCAGTTTAACACAGAGGTTAGACAATTGATGATTAAGGCGCAACTCACATTGCTGCCCCTTTGACATGGCTGCTGACACAGCATATGCGGTAAAGCTGGCACCCTCCCTCCAAGCTGAACTAAGCGTGTACTGCTGTGTGCCCACCTGTGTAGATGCAGCTCCTGTAGGTAGTGTGAAAGGAGTCCCGGGTCTGTCTTTTCTGCCACAGTGGAACTTATAGTTGGTCTTTAATATTAAGAGCAGTACATTTGAAAATACACATAGAACCTGTGGTATTGGCATAAAAAATTATTTCTGAACTTTCATTTGTGTCCCACCACTTACTCTACAATCATAGTTAGAATGTCGGGCTTTCTCCTAGAGTACAAGCTCTCCTTTTAAATCACTGAACATCTCCCTGAATTACAAATCACGGCCTGCTTTGTCTGTACCTACTCACTTACAAAATGACCATGCTCTTGCATTTTATGTTTTGTTTACTGATAAAATTGCAACTGAGTCAAATGAATGGATAAAAATAAACCAGTACTAAAGTCTCTTGGAAATGTTGAGAGTGGACAGACGACTTCAGGCCCTCAGCCCTTGCAGCCTGGCTCTTTGCGAAATTGCGAAGCCTGTGTGTTGGGCCCACACACAGGCTAGGAGCCTGTTGCTAAGAGCAAGTTGTTTTTAAAGCGACTGACTTGCATCACCATGGTTCTCCTGTGCTCCGTGGAGTGCCGTGGTGCTTTAATGCCACAACGCCAGTCCCCGGCTCCCAAACTGAACGGATATATCTGAAGTCTTACGAGTCTCAAGAATTTCTTATTCTTTGGGGGAAAATCTTGCAAAGATTAACTCTGTGAGAGGAAAACCCTTGAGTATGTAACAAGTTTCTGTTGCAAATATCAGCGATTTTAGGTTATATAAGCATTCTGCTTGAAAAGCAAGCATCATCTCTGCTGCAAGGTCTGTGTTTTAACTTTGTGCAGATGTGCGCTAAAAGAACATGATGTGCTTATTTGTTGCATTTATGCTACTTTCTTACTTAAGTAAGATGGATGAAATTTCATATTAAATAAAAACAGCAGCTCTGACGGCAGTCCTTAGCAAACTGAAAAGCCTTCCAGAGACAGTGGAGAAAATGACACTGTGACTTTAATAACTCATTCACGTTTAAGAGAATTGTCTACATAAATGCATGTATGTAATAATTTCTGTGTGGGATTTATCAGTATTAGCTGTCTCATGTGTAAAACTAATCTGCCATTAAATCATGTTGGTGAAATGTTACCAGAAGTATTATGTTTTATATATATCCCTTATTTTGACACGACTGCAGTTATAAACAGATACACGCTGATGTGTACAGCATGAAACTCCAGCCAGTGAAAACGGCTCTGTGGCCTTGGGCAAATTATTTAACTTCCCTGAACCTTAGTTTTCCTTTTCTGTGTGATAGGACACCTAGCCTTTAGGATTATTGTCAGGATTAAATGAGCACATCGATCGAGCACTTGCGTAATTCCTGGCACTTACTTGTTAGTACACGTTCACCTCCTTTCTGTGTTCCAAGCTTCATAAAAGGCAGTGTGTTTTTATATGGTATTTTTGAGGCAGAAAGTACTTTGTATTGAGTATTACTTAGCCTATCCAGTTCTAAAATGAAACTTTGTATTACATGTTACTTACCACATTCAACTCCAGGGTGAAAATTCAGAATATGTAGAATAAATTTTTCTTAGGCTATTTAAAGAACACATATTTATTGAATGATTACCAACTGTAAAACATTGTTTCCTATCATTTACAGTTGAATGTATTTGAAATCCAGGAGGGGAGCAATCAGTCTGAATGCTATATTCCCAGTTCATTTTACAGTCCCCCTTTTGTTTGCTATTTTTCCTTTTTCATCAACCCTGTTGTAACTTTAAGAAAGTTGTCAGAATAAGTAGCATTTGACTTTGTTCCATAGTCATTTAAAAATAGGATTGATCAATACGAAACATTAGCCAGGAGCATAATTTGGTACTTTTTTATTGATTTCAGTTACCAGTGCCCTCGGGCTTCTGGTGTGAGAATGAAAATGATATATGAAATATGCACCCAGGTTAAACAGACCAATTTTCTTCTTACATCTGCAACCACTATAAACAGAATTCTTTATATGGAAGTGGCTTTGGAAGCAGTTGAGTCTCACGCGCATGGGCACGCGCATGTACACACACAATGCGCTCACACACACACACACACACACACAACCTTAAGACTCCAAGCAGCCTCCTAAGCCAGTGTTTTTGTTATTGAGGCCAAGACTTGTACAGTGCTTTGGAAATTTTCTGCCATTTAGTTACTTTTATTAATTATAAAATGCCATTCAAAGTTATAGATTTACAGCCCATGAATATGCTTTGGCATCTTAATGGTGATTATAAGCCAGAATCTTGAGGATTTGAAAGATGTTCTACTAAATAACTAGTTACAGACCAATCAAGCCAAGAGGATAAATACCGGGGAAGCCTGCTCAGCAGGGCATATGCATCATTTAGAAAGTTGTGCACAAAAGTTGGCTGTGGGCAGAAGTTGTCGTAGGTCAGCTGTCCTGTCAGTCAGCTTCAGCAGCTGTTCCCTGTCACCAGGGCCCTTACGTGCTACTGCCTGTCCAACAGCACCAGCAGATTACTGGCTACCTCTCTGGTGGGCTGGAGAAGCCATGGACACACACACTTACAGTGTAGGTCTCACTGGCCACCAGCTTGGACAGCGACCAAGCACCAATTCCTTGGTCTTTCATTAGACCATTCACCAAGATCTACTCTCTAGAGAATTAGTTGGATTTTGGGGAATCTATCTGTTTTTCAACAAAAATATAGCCATGGGAATATAGAAAGATGGCACATTTGGGCCCAAAGAGATGCCCTCAGTGAGAGATGAGAGAGCTTTCTCCACCAGGTGCCAGATGATCAGTACCACATGATCACTGAAGAGGCTTTTCTGGTTGAACACAACAATGCAGAACGAGACTGGAAATGACAAGCATTCCTTTTGTGATAATGCAGCACCCTGCCAAATGGGATACATCCCAAGTCTGATTATAGACAAGCCTCCAACAGTTTTCTTTTTCCCTTCTTGTGTTCCAGAGACATCCTTAGAGGAAAGGATTTGAGGGCATTAGTATCACTATCTGTCTGATTACTGTGTTGACATTTTTAAAGTGCCATTAATCATAGGAAATGGAACTTAATGATGTTGAAAAATACCCAGCCAAGAACTGTCAAGAAAGTTAGCTACGGCCCAATATTCAGATGAAACTGAAGGGGGTAATTCCTTAACCCTTTGCTTTTTTCTTAATTATTACTGAACTCGGAAGCTAAGTAATTGAGAGGCAGCAAATAAGGGAATGCTAAACATAGCAAAGGGAAATTGAGAAAGGCAGGTATTTTTATTTTGTAAATATTGCAACTACAATTTATACAGCATATGAAGATAATATTCATCTTAAGATGATGTAATTGAGATCTTACTTGCCTCTACCCCTTCCATTTTGTAAGAAAGTTATTTTTTCTTTTTAATATCTCCTCCCATATTTTTTCTGTGGACTCAATACTTAATATACTTGATATAATCTATTCCGTGTGAAGCTTGACTGGCAATGAGATTTGAGAATTCGTAGGCTGACAGTATACCTGCACAGGTAACACTGCCGTCCTGGGGCCACAAAAGTAAAAAGCAGTGATATGGCATATGAAAAGAATAATTCATTTGTCAAAAGCTGGCAGTTCTTACTGGATATTTTGTTGGATTTTGATAGCATCAGTTCTTGTTTGCCTGTTAGCGAATTTAAATTCAAATAAGTGTTCCTAACTCAAATTTAGGAAACGTGAGGTAAACTGAGGTATCCTTACTTAGAAAATATATATGACACTAAACTCTAATGAACATTATACTGTAAAGTGTTTCTGATCCTGATTTTGAGCAGGTGCTTCATTGGGAAACAGCACAAGAACCTAAATTTATCGCCTCCTCTTTTTTTTTTTTTTCCAAGATAGATCATTCATCATAGCACGGGACACATAACAGATATTCAATCAAGACTGATTGATTGGTTGATTAATGGTACATGGATCTGAGATGAATGAATTTTAGGGTGACCTCTTTGAAAAATAAGTAATATTTGGAAAATAAGTAATATTATTAATAAGTGTTGGGCTTTTTTTTGTCCCTGCAGGTTTTTGTCATTCATCAGAGGGACGCTGTATGAGATTGGAAAGCCTGAAATGGAGCAAAAAATAAATTCGTTCCTTGAAAAGGAGGGCATAGAGAAAATTGCAGAAAGTTTGCAAACAACAGTTCACACCTTACAGGTCATCATAGATGGTCTCAGCCAGCCTGAGAGCTTTGACTTTCGAACAGGTAAATAATTAAACGTGAATAACAGCACCTTTTACTTGTATAGCTCACGTTATCTCCCGTGGCCCTCACAACAAACCTCTGCCATAAGCAAAAACGGATATTATTCTCCATTCTGTACGTGTGGAAACTAAAGCACAGTGACCATTCTTCAAAGTCATTGCAGGTAGTTAGTATCCAGAGCCAAAGCTAGAAGCTCTGTCTTCCCACTCCTTATCCCATGCTTATTTTCCATCACACTAGACTTAAATGCATCACACACTGGCTGCTGTGTGCATGGAGGCACACATTTTTCATAATCCTTTTGTAAGCTGTTATCTCGTAGGAGCCAGAAGTCCAAGGTGAGGCATTCAGTTCATAAACTAAAAAGTGAATCTTCCTAAATTACAGCCTTCCAGGTTACTGGATTCTGTGTCAGCGAACACACTGAACAAATAAGATACTATCTCTCTGTTGATTTTCCTTCTAATTAAAAGTGCTCTCAGTTTTCAGCATAGGTAGATGGTGAGGGAACAGCCATAGTTGTTGAGAGCAATGACCCGATGAAAAAGAATTAAGGGATCAAGTGACCTACTTCCTAAAGAAGTTTGAATAGGAAGCACAGATTTAAATGAATCTGTACTTGTATCATAACCAGTTTTATGACACCATGTTTAGGGCTTGACTCTTTTCAGTCTGAGTTAGGCTCTGTTGAGGGGGTTAGACATGCTTCTTTGAAAAGGTTTAAAGGAGTTTAAAAACACACCCAATAAGGGGTGCCTGGCTGGCTCAGTCGGAAAAGCAAGTGACTCCTGATCTCAGGGTTGTGAGTTCAAGCCCCACGTTGGGTATAGAGCTTACTAAAAAATAAATAAAGTTAAAAAAGAAGAAAAACTCACCCAGTGAGTTATACTATTCCCTCAACTTTTCTGTAAGTCAGAAATTACTTTTTTTTTTATTTTAAGTTAGAGAAAAAATACACAGTAAGATGTATTACAAAAATGTAGGCGACCCCAGGGTGGTCCGTCCAAAGTGGATGTTTCAGTAGACAGATCCACCTTCATTTGGAGTCCTGATGTCCTTGTATGTGAATTCTCTGTTGTTTAGCAGGATACCAGGGAGAGCAGCAGTTCTCAAACCTGGTGGGATACGAGGCTGGTATGCCTAGGACCACCACATATAGAAGACTGGGAACTATTCTCTCTCTAGCTGCAGGCCTCCTGTACTGGGTTTTCTTGTCCGTCTTCATTTTTCTGTCTTGGTGTTGATTGCTCCATTATCCTAGTTACATTGTAGACTAAGAGCAAAGATCGACATTCAGATTATATGGCTCAATTAAACAACCAACTGCTAAGTAGAGGTCCTCACCTTGTCATGCCCTTAGTGAGGAGAAAACCTGGGCTCTGGACCAAGCTTACCAGTTACTGCAGTGTTTTATCAGTGTGACAAGTGAAATTTCAAATAAGTCTCTTTTAAACTCACTTTGGAATTGACCTTTGCCCTAGTGTAAGTCACAATTCTCAAAATGTCTGAAAACTTTTATTTTAATACTAAAAATATCCCCAAGAGGGAAGGCAAACAGTCATACTTGAGAAGAGGCAGTTAGTATGTTGGATATTTCCTCATTACAGTATTTATAAATGTTACCTTTTTTCTTTTCTCCGTCTTCTCAAAAATATTCCCTTCCTTGATGCCACATTCTTTCCCTGTACCCATCCCATCTTCTATTTTCTCAGTGGCGTGATCAGTTCTATTTCTATTAACACTCTGGTTGCTAGTTAGTTCCTATAATTGGGTTTGAAAGAAGCAGCCCGGTGACAGGAGACTGACTATGTAGGCTTGGCCATCAAAGTGTTAATGTTTGCCTGGTACATGGAGGATTTTCTGATTTCTCAGTGGCCCAGGCTGTCTTCAGGAACATGTTAAGTAGTTCCTGACTCTGATTTTCCATGCAAAATTAAACTAAGCAGCTGATCAGGAACCCTTGGGGGAATCTGTGGCAGCTGAACCTCTGTAAGAAAAAAGAATTTCCAAGCATAAAAACAATGCCATGAGACCTCAAGACCATCCTACCTCTGATCCTGATCAATGACTCAGTTTCACTTTGCTTTGACACAGTCGCTGCCCAGTGTAATATTACAACAGGTTTCTTGCTTCTGGAATCCACTGCTTCGGTGTCAGGGGAAAATCTAAAGAATCAATTCGTTTTTGCATATTCCTTTTTTATGAGGAAAATGAGATTTGAGGTTTAAAGAGGGCTTTTTTGTTTTACAGGCAAAAGGTAAATTAAAAAAAGAAAAACAAACTTGATTTCAGGATGGTTGGACTGGGGGAGGGGAACCAAGAGGTGGCCAGTTGTTAGTACAACTGTAAAGGATAGCTTTAACAAGTAATCAGGATCAAGCCAACAGCTGTGGAGGAAAAGGAAGTGGGATGGGTGGAGGGAAAATGAGGCCTTGGTAAAAGGAGATCCAAGCATAGAATGTTCTTTGTTATTAGAATCAACATTCAGTAATCCTAGGAAAGGGGGCCAAGAAGAGCATGGGAAAATGGAATCCACAGATAACCCCAGAGTCCCACTTAGACTTTTATTTCTACCCTTCTCCCTCATGAAACCTCTGTTGTTGTTCTTGTTTTGTTTTTACTAGAGCCATGATTCCTTGGCACGCTTAATACCCACTTTTTGGGAGGATGGTGTTAACGAACACTGTACGCATACACCGGGGCGAACAAGAAAAGAGGGCTGTAAGGAACTTGAGAGCAGAGATCTGTGTGTCTTCATCTTTGTAGCTCTAGCACCCAGCAGAGTGTGTGGACAGGAGCTGATAAATGTTTGATGAATTGAATTGAAGGAGGAGAAAGAAGATTAGGTACTGGCCGATCTGGGTTTCTGAGCCATAGATAGTCAAGAATCTATTAAGTTTTTGATTGGGTTAATATATTCAAAATGGATGGAAATTGATTCGTGAATCCCAAATTCATGGAGGGAAATGAGAGAGGAGAGCATTTTAATTTCATCTACACTTGACCAAATGTTGACATACTTTCTACCACCTGTAAACAGTTTGAGAATTCAGGAACTGGGGGGAAAACTCCCCATCTTCTGTCGGGGAAGATCTTACTTTTCTCAGTGTTTGTCATTTGGCCTTGTGTATTCATTGAACAAAGATGTTTTCCCATCACCTCCTCATAAAAAGGAACACAAGACCCTCTATTCTTCTCGGTCCTTGTGTGTACTACTAATGTTTGCATGTTAGCAACATAGAGTTTGGAGAGAAAAAAGTGTTCAGGTAAATTCTCCTGACCGTTACTACTATGTGAATGCTGCTTCTCCAGCTGAGATACATTTCCCCTGAAGGCAGGCCTGGGTTTCAGCTTCTTTCATGGCCCCTCTCAATGCTTACTCCTGGTCCAGCATGTAACTGACACGTGGTAAATACTTATTTACTAATGCATATTGTGTCTAGGAGGTACAGGACCTACTATTTACGCTGCCTTTTTTTCCCGTTTCCTTGTAGATTTTGATAAACCTGATTTCAAGAGAAGCATAGTCTGCTTGGAAGACCTGCAGGTTGGGACAGTTCTCACAGGCAAAGTCGAGAATGCCACTCTGTTTGGAATTTTTGTAGATATAGGAGTGGGGAGATCAGGGCTGATTCCCATACGAAATGTGACAGAAGCAAAACTTTCTAAAACAAAGAAGAGAAGGAGTCTTGGACTGGGCCCTGGAGAAAGAGTGGAAGTCCAAGTACTCAACATTGACATCCCCCGATCTAGGATTACTCTGGACCTCATTCGGGTGTTGTGAGTGTCGTACTAAAAGTCAAATACTGATTTTATTTCCTCATTTCTACAGGTGGGCAAGAATAAGTCAGATGTTTGTGAATTCTAGGTAGCAGGTGAGAAAGAATTCACTCAATATCAGAAGTATTTTTCAAACGCTTTCCTTATTTTTCTTCCTGAATAAATAGAAAAGTAACAGCTCAATTTCTTTTCCCCTTAAAGAAAACAACTAATAGACATCCTTATGGTCTTTACTTAGTAATGATTTTTTGACCCAAATCTTATTTTTTGTATTTCATCTTAGACTCCTTTTGCATTTTGTATAACAAATTGTTTCATTTCTACTTGCCAGCTTGCCTTGCTGGACTTGTATGGAATTGCTTTCTTCATCTGAATTGTACGATGTTTCTTGACATAGAAGGATGGGCAGTGTTTCGCCCTCCCTTTTTTACAGATTTTTTTAAATCAGGTCTTTTGGACTTGATTCATGATTTTCTCTTGCCAAGTAAATAAAAAATAGGCCAATTAGATCCTGATGTGTTCATAACCATCAAGTGAATGGCTCAAAGCATTTCTGAGAAGGATATATGTATCGACCCCTACAATAAAGTTCTGTGGCTGGTGACCTTGTTTTTGTTATGTTAACTCAGTGAATGACCTAGGAGTACATCTTGATTAAAGATGTGGCACATATGGGAAGCCTCTGGAAATTGGAAGGATGGCATTCGGTTTGACTTTGCTTGCCACAGAAGGGTATATATTCTTTCTTAAGCATTCAGATTAAACTTCAAAGGGGGGAAGAAATGGCCTTCCTAAAGACTGACTATAGACCAGGTATGAAGGGGCAAGAAAAACAAGTAGATAAAGCAAGTGACTCTTAACTCTGTTTTTGTTCAGTGGAGATGGTGAGTATTAGCATGCCAATTCAGGGTCAAAATTGTTTAAATAGAGCCCATACTAGACTGGTGTTTTGTCCATTCTGGCTGCCCTGGCTGATTTGCTTAATGGAGTCATTTGCATGACTGAATGAATACCTGGTTTTCTCCATGTGTAATGAGTGGAAGATGGTTCCTAAAGAGGGTAACCAGTCCTGCGCTTATTGCCTGGAACAGTCCTAGTAAATACTCATTTGTCTTGGTATGATTTTTAATAGTGCTTCTTTTTTATTCCCAAACTGTCCCATTGTGCATAATAAGTCATATGATCACCTTAGTAATACAGTCCCTTACAAAGTGGTAAATTGGACTGCATTTATTGATAGTTCTGCCTGGTAGTTTGCCAGTCTCAAAATATGCGGTCTTCCAACTGTTGTACGTAGATTTTTTTTAAGGCAGTAGGTCCCTGAAAAGTTGTATAACTGAAGGCCTGTTTTCCTGACAGTTTCATTTCTGAAATGCTTTTCTCTCTGTTACTGGTCTTTAAGAGACAATGGATCTTAATGTTGTACTTTAAGTTGACCTTCCTACTCCTTCCAGTGTTCTTCCTGGTTCATAATTTGTAGATCAGTGATGAGCGATATGCACCCAAAGGGTCTTATTCTGAAGCCTGCAATGTAATTTTAAAAAAATGCTTTTTTTTTAAATTGAAGCATAATTGGCATATAACATCATATTAGTTTGTGTACAACATGATTTGATATTTGCATATATTTCAAAATGATTACCATAATAAATCTGGTTAACATCTATCACCATATATGGTCAAACAGATGCTTTTGGTGAAGAAGTCCTCTCCTTGGCCACTTTAAATGCAGGAACCAGAGCATTTGAAGCATCTCTGTTGACCTGGTAGCTAAGCCTTTGTAGACACAAGAAGAGCTTGATATTGAACTGGGTTGCGTGGCTGGTCCTTTCCAGCCCAAACATGGTGGAAGCTCTATAAGGCCTACACTGGGAAAAGTGGGACATGTCTCATTCATCATGTACCCCTAGAAAGTAGCATGGCTCTTGGTGATCAGTATGTTCAACTAATCCTAGTCCCTATCCTACTGATAATCCACAATGTGACTTTGAGCTGGTATCTTTACTTCTCTGGGCCTCCTTTTCCCAAGTTTAAAATGGGCATGATTGTAATACAGCATTAATTCTCCCAAAATTTATTGGTGTCCTCCTGACACTGACCATACAGTTATGATGGGAAAATAGACCTTATCCCTGCCCTTATGGAGCTTAGAGTCAATTGAGGAAAAAAGAATCTTTAATTGAGAAATCACATGCAAATGTAAAGTTACAGTGAGGATAAGCAATATGATAGCTAGCATGTAATAGAGTGGTTTACTTAGTCAGAAATGTCAAAAAATGTTTCGGAGGGGTTTCACTGAAATGTGAAAGATGTCCAGAAGTTAACTAGATAGATACTTTGCTGACCTTAACAAGAGTTGTTTCTGATAAATGGTAGGGGTGAGAGCCTGATGGGATTGGTAAATAGTGGGAGGAGTTAGATTGGGGATTTTGAATAACAGACAATTTGTTCAGGAGGTTTGGCTGTCAAGCGAGAAGAGAAATCGTATAGTGGTTGGCAGGGGAAATGGAGTCCAGAGGGAGTTTTTGTATTTTTTTAAGAAGAAATAATAATATGTACAAATGGAAATGAGCTAGTAAAACAGGAAAATTTGAGACGGGAGACCGAGGGGAATCGCTGGAATGATCCCCTTGAGTAGATGAGACTGGGTGGGATCTAGTACACAGTGACTGGTCTGAAATAGGAATACAAACAGTGTGTCCATCTTAACAAGAGAGAAGATTGCATGGGCCCAGACATAGGGAGGAGAACATCATGATGGAAGCTCATAGAAGGTCTCCTTGGGTCACTTCTATTTCTCTCATTGAAATAAAAAGGAAGGTCATCATAGGAGCCTGAAGATCAGGGGTAAAGAGAGTTGGAGGTGTGAGAAGAAAGGAAAAGGAGAGAAAAGGATGAAAAGAGTGAAAAGCCTAGGGAAATAGAGTGTGACTTCCAGTCAATGTTAAATGTTCCACTGCAGGTTAAGGGTCAGGCAAGTGGAAGATCAGTGCACTTGCTTATATAATTTTCTTCCACCACATCAGCTGGATGGGCACAGGTGGTGAGGTGGATCTAATCAGGTTTGGGAGTTTGCCAAGTGAGTAAAATGAAGAGAAGAGCAAGGAAGTTGAGGGAATGTGGACAAAAAAATTGTTGACCATGGAATTTAAACTCCTTAAGAAAGAGTGTAATGGGAAAATGAGGGGCAGTGAAAAAGCACAGGATTGATTGTAGGTCCTGATGGAGTTGGAGGAATGTTAGAGTGGAGGTAACAGAGGACATAATGGGTGAAAGAGTGGCCATCAACAGTGGGAAGCTTAACTTTGAAGTTACAGCTTTCAGGGTTGCAGTGCTTGGTAATTATAAAAAGGGGGGGGGGGGATGATCACAGGAATAAGTAGCAGCGGTAGAAGACCAAGGATAAGATCATTAGAAAAGAGAAAGTCAAGGGGCTCCTGAGTGACTAGTGGATTAAGCAGCCAACTCTTGATTTCAGCTCAGGTCATGGTTTGTGAGTTCAAGCCCCTCATTGGGCTCTGTGCTGGCAGTATGGAGCCTGCTTGAGATTCTCTCTCGCTTGCTCTCTCGCTCGCGCTCTCTCTCTACACCTCCCCTGCTCATTCTCACGTGCTCTCTCTCTCTCTCAAAATAAATAAACATTAAAAAGAGGAAGTCAGGGAATTGAACCTTCAGGAAGAATTATCTATGTGGATAATGATTTTAGGAGGCTGTCACAGTAATGCAGGCATAAAATAACGGTGGCTTGGACAAGAATGTTAGTGGTAGAAATGGTGAGAAGTGGTGGGATTCTGGATATATTTGGAAGATGAACACAGAGCCAAACAGGATTTCCTGGTGTATTGGATATAAGATGTAAGACAGACTGGAGTCTGGGACGGTTTTTGGCCTAAGCAACCAGAAGGATGAAATTGTTATCTACTGACATGGAGAAGACTGTGTTGGACGGTTTGGGTGAAGGACTTTATTTTGGACCAGTTGAGTTTGAGATCCTTATTAGACATCTAAGTGGAGATGCCAAATAAGCAGTTGGCTCTTTCAGGCTCTTTCTGAAGTTCAGGGAAGACAGCTGGGCTGGAAGTGTCAGTTGGTAATCGGCAGGATAAAACTGTACTAACAGCCCCCAAACTGAATAAGATTACCAGTGGGTATAAATTCTTTGAACATCTCCCTAAGGGCAGGAATTTGTCTTGTCATGGCAGGGCCTGCCTAGATGCCTATTCAGAATTCTCCCCCTCTTCCTTACTAAAAGAATTCTGATTTGAGGGGGGGCGATAATGTGACTAATGGACGCGGACGTGGCTATGTGGTGTAGTTCTGGCCAGTGAGTGTAGGCAAAAGTCATGGGGTGGGATTCTAGAAAGGCTAGAAACAGTGGGTATCAGGACCAGCTATCATACTTTCCTTATCCGGTACCCTTGCCCTCCTTCCTGCTTGGAGTGCAGACAGAATGCCGGAAGTGCTGGAGGTCAGACAGTGACAAACACTCAATAGCGACTGCTGTACAGAAAGATAGAAAGTTCCTGAAGCCATCTTGGCATTGTAGAGTCACACTACAGCCCCGAACTGCCTATTCTGGACTTCACGTTAGGTGAGAAAAATAAAAGTTTTATTCATTTAAGCTATTGAGGGGGCAGGGGAAGGTTTAGAGCAAAGTATATTCCATAATATATATCTGTGTTGTGCCATACTTAAATACCCTGTATTTAATACCAGCATGTGACAGGTACTCAATAAATGTTGATTGGATGAGTACATACCTAATAAAAGAGTTTAATAAAAATAGTTGAATATAAAATGTTCCCTAAAATCCAGTTTTCCTTACTCATGTTAGACAATATGATGGAATAAACAGTTCCCATTTATTACAACAACACACTGTAAAATATCTAGAAGTAATCTTACAATGTACAAGATCAGTATGAACAAAATGTGTAAAGCTTTACTAATGAATATAAAATAAAGCAGAAAGCATGAAGGCATACCGTGTTCCTGGATTGGAAG